GCTCTGTCACCTGGGCTGGAGTGCAGTGGCACAATCTTGGCTCACTGCAACCTCTGCTTCCCGGGCTTCATCAATGCTCCTGCCTCAGCCTCTCCTGTACCTGGGATGATAGGTGTGTGCCAGACCACCGGGGTAATTTTTTTGTTTGTTTGTTTTGTATTTCTTGTAGAGACCGTGGTCTCATTATATTGTCCAGGCTGGTCACAACTCCTGGGCTCAAGTCATCCTCCTGCCTCCCCCTCCCAAAGTGCTGGGATTACAGGTGTGAGCCACTAAGCCCATCCTGAATTACTGATTTTTACATACTGTATAAACTTTTGCATCCTACTTGTTCTTACTTTTGTTAAATGTGGCCTAAAGCTGCCTCATAAACAGCGAACTATATCCTAATTTAAGCATGTAAGCATTTCACTAAAGGAATATACAAGTAAAATTTTAAAGAAAGAAAATAAGAAAAAGTGCATAAACATTTGGGAAAAAGCCTTTAGGCCTTGTCAGTTTGTAGAATGTATTTATTTTCACTATGCTGGGGACTCCATTTCCAGTATTAAGGTCCATTCTCAGAAGATGGATTTGGCGAGCATGAGAAAAGGGGTGGGGGATCGTACAAACAATTGTGTCCAGTCCAGGTTCCTAGGACCAGAGGGACCCCTCTGTATGGCAGAGGCACCCGACAGCCGTACCTGATGTGTACCCTCAGAATGACTTTATGGTCGAAGAAGAAAGTGTGTTCGGAGCCCCAAGCTAAGGAATCAGGAGTGGCAAGATCCCGGAAGGATGCCAACCTGTGAAACTCTGAGTCAAGAGGTCAAGCTGGGCACTTGGTTTCTCAGGTCGACCGCTTGGCCCTCTTCCAAGTTGTACTTTCCTTCTTTCCTTTACTTCCTGTTGTAAAGTTTTTAATAATCATTTTTTTTTGTACTATCTCACTCTATAGCCCAGGCTGGAGTGCAGTGGCTCAATCTCAGCTCACTGCAACCTCCACCTCCCAGGTTCAAGAGATTCTCCTGCCTCAGCTTCCCAAGTAGCTGGGATTACAGGCACTCATCATTACGCCCAGCTAATTCTTGTATTTTTAGTAGAGACATGGTTTCACCATGTTGGCCAGGCTGGTCTCGAACTCCTGATCTCAGGTGATCCACCCAACTCAGCCTCCCAAAGTACTGGAATTACAGGCATGAGCCACTACGCCCTTTCCTGGCCTGCTTTTTAAAAAAATTTTACTCCTGCTCTGCAACTTGCCTCTATCTGGTATCTACCTTATGACCCTCAGTCAAATTATTTCTTCTGAGGAGGCAAGAATTGAGGTTGTTTCAGTTGTGTATGGATTCACCACCGGGAACTCGGATACCTTCCACCGGTAACAGGTCGAGGATGCTAGGTGAAAATGTGATGGAAGCTGCTATGCTTTTACAAAATGTAGTGGTTCTGCTGGTCCAAGCGCCACAAAGGCCAACTGCACCTGTGTGAAAAGTCCCCTTAAAGAAACCTATGTCTTTTCCCACGTCGATTTCTTCCTCTAACCCTTCACACGGTGGCCTGCATATTGCAGTAAAGTGGGGTCCGCAGGGCACCCGCCCTCTCCCTTTGCAATTTTTTTTTTTTTGAAGAAGATTCTTGCGCCTGCTCTGTTCCACCCAGGTGGGCTTACAGTGTGTGACTCGGCTCAACTGCAACTTCGCTCCTGGGTTCAAAGTGGATCTTCAAGCCTCAAGCGCTTCTGGAGTAGCGTGGGATTACCAGGCGCCTGCGTTCCAGCCTGCTTTTTTTTTTTTGAGTATTTTCAGTAGAGAGGGGGTTTCGACATATTGGCCAGGCTGGTCTCGAACTCCTGGCCTCAAGTGATCCGCCTACCTCAGCGTCCCCAAGTGCTGGGATTACAGGCCTGAGCCACTGCACTTGGCCTCTCTCCCTGTATCTTCATGTATCTTCAAAGCCAAGAAGGAGCTTCTGTCCCCTTGGTTAGGGTCAGGGTCCCAGAGGTCCAGGGTCAAGGCTATGGCCGCCTCCCAAGGAGGTGCATCCCTGCAAGAGGCTGCATCCAGCAGTCATGGAAGAGGCTCCCGTGGGGCCTGCTCCAATTCCTGCTGGGGAAAGCAAGTGGAGGTGCCCCTTGAAGAAACGGGGATGCCACCAATCTCAGGGGTTCTGTCCTGGCCTGCGGCCCTGGATCGTCCAGCCTCTGCTGGGATGGGGAGCAGACGACGTCCTTCTTCGCGGCAGCTGAGGGTGGAGGTCCGGCTTCCCCAAAGGCCTAGTCCTGGATTGCTGCCACAGGTCCTACTGGGCAGCGTCTGGCGCCGCCCCGCCTCTCCAGGCCTGGCACTCGCCCTCAACAATCATGGCGCCGACGGCCTCAGGCGCCTCAGGCCGCAGGCGCGCCGCGCGGCACGCCCGCAGGGCTCCGCCCGCGCCGCTCTCATCCGGTCAGACTGGCTGACAACACAGGGAGCGGGAAGTATGACTTGGATGGTGGCGGTGTCCGGGGCCGCTCTCGGCCGCTGTTGTGTGGCTGCGCGCAGGCGCTACTGGGCGGGATGCTGTACACCGGGGAGAGCCCGTTGCGGGAGCGGCCTCTGAAGCTTCCAAGCCCACTTCTCCGACAAGGGACGCCTGGGCTTCCAGGAGCAGAGGTACGGGCGGCCGTTGGGAGAGGCGCCGGGAGCCCGGCGTTGGGAATGGCCTAAGTCCCGGCGTCCTACACCCTCCTTCACCTGAGTGCCCTGGAGCTGGGGTCCCGGAGGAGGTTAAAGGTCAACGGGCTTGGGGGCGCGGGGTTGGAGGACGGGGGAACCGGGGGGGACTAGGGAGACTCAGGAGGGCCAGGGCGGAGGAGGCGGGAGGAGGAGGAAGAGCTCCTGTCCAGCCCCGTCGGGAGGCGAAGGCTAAGCCCGGGCAGTGTCCTTTCTAATATTTAGTTTTAATTTTTGAAATGTTTTTGAGACTGGGTTTGGTCCTGCTGCCCAGGTTGGAGCGGAATGGGGCAATCCTAACTTCTGAGCTCAAGCGATTCTCCCGCCCCAGCCTTGCAAGTTAGCTGGGACCGCCATGCCTAATTAACAAAAAGAAAGAAAGAAAGAAAGAAACTTGGTCGGGCTTGGTGGCTCACGCCTGTAATCCCAGCAGTTTGGGAGGCCGAGGCGGGCGGATCACCTGAGGCGAGGAGTTCAAGACCCTCCCGGCCAACGTGGTGAAACCCCGTCTCTACTAAAAATACAAAAATTAGCCGGGCGTGGTGATGAGCACCTGTAATCCCAGCTACTTGGGAGGCAGAGGCAGGGGAATTGCTTGAACCAGGAAGGCAGAGGTTGCAGTGAGCCCAGATCAAGCCACTGCACTGCAGCCTGTGTGACAGACTGAGACTCCGTCTCCAAACAAAAACCAACTTTTTGTTTTGTTTTGCTTTTTAAGATACAGGGTCTCAGTACGTTCTCCAGGCTGATCTCGAACTCCTGACCTCAAGTCCTCCTCCCACGTTGACTTCCCAAAGCGCTCATTACAGGCATGAGCCACCAGACACTCGTCAGGCCTGAGGGGCAAGCCGTGCACAGAGCTGGGCCCGGGGATCGGAGGAGGGGACAGTTTAGACATTCTGAGGTTGGCTCTGCCGACGGGGGAAGGTAGCTTGGTTTTCAGGGTTCAGATAGAGGACAGACAGTGACATCAGGCCAAGGACGCCACCCCTGTTGCCCTCCTGACTTGGATGTGGTCAGCAGAGAAGTGGGATCCGGTGAGGTCTGGGCCGCGTTTGCCTGTTCTACCTCCTCTTTTTGTCTTTTTTTTTTGAGAGAGAGTCTCGCTGTGTCACCCAGGTGGTATGCACTTACAGTCCCATCTGCTAGGGAGGCTGAGGAGGGAGAATTGCGGTTTCACTCTTGTTGCCCAGGCTGGAGTGCAATGGCGAGATCTCAGCTCACTGCAACCTCCGCCTCCTGGTTTCAAGTGATTCTTCTGCATCAGCCTCCTGAGTAGCTGGAATTACAAGCGTGCCCCACCACTTCCAGCTAATTTTGTATTTTTAGTAGAGACCGGGTTTCTCCATGTCAGTCAGGCTGGTCTTGAACTCCCGACCTCAGGTGATCCGCCTGCCTCGGCCTCCCAAAGTGTTGTGACTATAGGCATGAGCCACCGCGCCCGGCCTTAAATTTTTTTTTTTTTTTTAACTAAAACAAGGTCTCACTGTGTATCCCAGGCTAGTCTTGAACTCCAAGACTCAAGTAATCTTCCCACTTTGGCTTCCCAAAGTGCTGGGATAATAGGTGTGAGGTACCATGCCCAGCCAGGTTTTTTAACTGTAGCAATTTACCATAGTAATTTAAGATGTTCATAAGAAGGAAGCCAGGTACAAGGGTATGTGTGAACTTTGTGCTGTCTTGGCAATTTGTCTGTAATTCTAAAACTGTTTTAAAATTAAAAGTTTACTCAACTTCCCCATGTGCTGCTAAAGAAAAAAATAACAATAACATTAAAAGTGTTTTATTTTGAAAATATTTCTTATTTTTTTTTTGAGACAGGGTCTCACTCTGTCACCCAGGCTGGAGTGCAGCATTGCAATGTTGGCTCACTGCAAGCTCTGCCACCCAGGTTCAAGCAATTCTTCCACCTCAGCCTCCCAATAGCTGGGATTACAGGCATGCGCCACCACACCCGGCTGATTTTTGTATTTTTAGTAGAGACGGGGTTTCACCATGTTGGCCAGGCTGGTCTTGAACTCCTGGCTTCAAGCAGTTCACCCGCCTTGGCCTCCCAAAGTGCTGGGGCTATGGTCGTGAGCCACTGTGGCCAGACTATTTTTTAAATACTTTTTAGAACCAAAGTCTTGTTATGCTGCTCAGGCTAGATTGTAACTCCTGTGCTCAAGCAATTCTCCTGCCTCAACCTCCTGAGCAGCTGAGACTACAGCTTGTGCCACCACAGCCAGCCAAAAAGTTTATGTTTCTTTTTTTAAAAAAGAGAGGGCTTAGGACTTCCTGGAGCACGGACTTCAAATAGCAGTTGAGTCCACCATTGTGCTCCCTTCTCTCTGGATCTTTCTTCCTGAGTGCCTGTGAAAAGCAAGCTTTTCACAGGAGCTGCCTGTGCAGCTCCAGCCCACCAGTGATTGTCGTTTCCTGACGGCCAGTCCTGTGGACTCTGGGCTTGCTTAGCCAACCCCACAAATGCAGAAGCCAAACTTTTACCAATCTATCTATCTATCTAGATGTATGTCTGTATATAGCTTTTTTGTTTGTTTGTTTGTTTGTTAGAGACGGAGTTTAGCTTTGTGACCTAGGCTGGAGTGCAGTGGCATGATCTCGGTTCACTGCAATCTGTGCCTCCTGGGTTCAAGCAATTCTCCTGTCTCAGCCTCCCGATTTGCTGGAACTACAGGCATACACCACCACACCTGGCTAATTTTTGTATTTTTATTAGAGACAGAGTTTCATCATGTTGGCCAGGCTGGTCTCAAACTCCTGACCTTAGGTGATCTGCCTGCCTCAGCCTCCCAAAGTGCTGGGATTACAGGCTTGAGCCACTGTGCCCGGCCAGAAGCCATCCGTTTCTATATCTATGCAGATGTGTGTCACTATATGTTTATGTATATCTGAATCTGTGTATCTCTCCTACTGGTTCTGCTTCTCTGGTTTGAACCCTAACACAACTATTTTTTTTTTTTCTTTTTTGAGTTGGAGTCTTGCTCTGTCACCCTAGCTGGAGTGCAGTAGTGTTATCTCTGTTCATTGCAACCTCCGCCTCCTGGGCACAACTAGTATTTTATAATCTGTTAGGAATTCACATGTTTTTCAAAAGATCAAACTACATATTTAAATACATTTCCAATACAAACTTTTAAAATGATATTATGAAGCATTAAGTAAAATTCTACATTATTAGGCCAGGGACGGTGGTTTATGCCTATAACCCCAGCACTT